TTGAAATATTGAGGATGTTCTGTAGCTATTCAGAGAAAACAAAGATTGTTGTCTCCTTAATTTTGTTTGAAGTAGAACAATTTTGGTTTCTCTTTAACAAACAGTTGATTGATCGTGTTTGTTCTTAAATTTTTGTTCTAGAATTCTGAAAATTATAATTGGAAACTACTTTCTGGAAGCTCTCAATCCTTTTTTCCCTCCTTATTCCTTGTCCTATGATTGTGTTCTTTGTTTTACTGATGAACTCCAAACACGCTTAGCTTCTGCCTTAGGTGATTTTGTGGCCTTGTACTGTTCATGACCTCTAATTGGAGTGCCCAACACAAGCTTTTTTTGTAAATTGTAACTTCTCATACCATCAGCTTATATTAGAGGGCCTTCATTGTAGCCACTCAAGGATGCCTTGTCCCTTTGACCCTTGTGCTGTTCGGGCTCGTTCGGTGCCTTTTTGGATGAAACCTGTGGCTTGGTTCTCATAAAAAAATTATTGAGAACACCCTTGAACATTTTCATTGAACTTTAAAATATCGTGTCTAATTATTGAAAATGTGACACGACTATATAGCTCTTCTCGTTATTTCATATCGATGTCTATTACATCCATATTTCCTCCTTTATGATCAGGATTAAACATGGAATTTAGTGGAAGTTTGACAATTACCATTGAGATTTCGAACATAGACTCGACAAAATTGAAAGTCGATAAAAGTTCATGAAGGATCGAATATTAGGGATCAAAATGAAAAACTTGACATTAGCCAAATTCATTTGGGATCCTGTATAAGATCAGCCTTTTGTCTCTGTGTTTCGTATCAAGAATTCTTTGTAGACGAAGAGATGTCAAAGGGGCTGCTTACTTCCCAAATAGATCCTCCTACATCTGTATATAAACGCTAGTTTATCAAGAATATGCAAGAAAAGCACTTCGGATTGTTGATTCATTGCCAGAGATGGGTCCTAAAATCCATCTAAGTTATTTGTTTTATATTTTTCATTCTATGTTTTTTCTCGGGCTCATTCGTAAAGTTGGTTAAATCGGAGCTCTTTGTTTAGGGGCAGATGCATAGAAGTTTTTCTATGACAGAACATTTTAAATGGCTTACATTGGCTTTCTTTTTCATGTTTTTTCTGCATGAGTTTCAATCCTGATGTGTTAAGTTCTTCAAAATCACTCGCAGGTTACACGCACAGGCTTTGACCTTAGCTGCTCTTGCTGGCGCTGCGGTCGTCGAATATTATGAACACAAATCTGGAGAGAAGGCCGAGCGATATGCCAAGTTCCTTCCCATTGATAACTACTCACACAAGGACTGAGTTTTTGTTGTTTTGCTCTTTCTATACTGGAGGGTAATAAAGTAGTTTCATTCTGAGGCTTAGAATTCTTACTTCTCCATTCTTTTTTAATATCATTATAGGGGGGCGTTGTTCTGCTCAATTCATGTAAGCAATTTGTTTGTAAACATGGAAGTGAATGTTTTTGTATTATGAATGAAATATTGGTTGGTTCCTGAGGAGCCTTGTTCCATTTTGTCTCACTTTTCTTCCGAGAATATCTTTTATTCCGCTGTAAGACCTCACATCGATTGGAAAGGAGAACGAAACATATTTTATAAGGGTGTGGAAACTTCTCCCTATTAGACACGTTTTAAAAATCTTGAAGGAAAGTTCAAAAGGAAAAGTCCAAAAAGACAATATCTGCTAGGGGTGAGATTGAACTGTTATAAATGGTATCAGAGCCAGACACCTAGTAAGGAGGAAGAGTCTTGGAGGGGAGTGGACACGAGGCGGTATGCCAACAATGATGCAGGGTCCAAAAGGGGTGGATTGGGAGGTTCCACATCGATTGGAGAAGGAAATGAGCGCAAGCGAGAACACTGGGCCTCAAAGGAGGTGGATTGTGAGATCTCATATCGATTGGGGAGGAGAATGAATCATTCTTTTATAAGGGTGTGGAACTTATCTCTAGCATACGTGTTGAGGAAGCTCAAAAGGGAAACGAGAACACGAGAGCCCCAATGACGCTGGCCCCAAAAGGGGTGGAGAGTCTTGAAGGGGAGTGGACACGAGGTGGTGTGCCAACAATGACGCTGGGATCCAAAAATGGTGGATTGGGAGGTCCCACATCGATTGGAGAAGGAAACGAGCACTAGTTTGAACCCATAGGGGGTGGATTGTAACATCTCACATCGATTGGGGAGGAGAAGGAAACATTTTTTATAAGGGTGTGAAAACTTCTCTCTAACATACACGTTTTAAAAAACTTTGAGGAATCTCGAAAATGAAACACTAAATAAGACAATATCTTAGTGGTGGGGAAGTTGAGTGAGACATTGTCTTTCTTATTCCGTGTGGACTTTTGTCGACTAATTTTAAGATTTATAGAAAATATATGGATCAAATTGAGCAAAGGAAAATACATCGACTAGAACGAGATGAAATTTAAAATATAATAAACAAAATGAGGTTTTTAACTTACAAGTTTAAAAAAATATATCCATAACATGAGCTCGTGTTTTAAAAAGTCAAACGTGACGATGTCCAATGTATTCGCGTGACAAGAACGACAACTTTTTTAAATGAAATTATTATACACTTCAAGAAAGAAAAAAGCAAAAAAAGTCAACGGAAATAATGTTGGATAATATTGTTTTGGACTTGAAGAACACAATTGACTTTTGATAATTGGATTTCAACGCGGCATCTGCGCCATCTCGTTTCTTAGCAGATTGACGATTTGGGCTGTGACCCACACTGAACTCAGATCTCTGCAAATTCTAACCCTTTTCAAACACAAAATTACAAGATCCCAAACCTTCTCCTCTCTTTAATCACGATTCCTTTTCGGCCCTAACCTTTGAAATTATTCTCACTCGTTTCAGATGGATCGAGAAAATTTAAGAACGATCCAAGAACTTTAACTCCAGCAAGATTGTTCGTAAGGTAAGTGACTTGATTCTTTGAATTTCTTTAATGGTACGTAAAAATTGTAATGAAAAAATGAGTTCTGTTTGTTTGTTATGATGTTTTTATAGAGATTGCGCAAACCTTTCATGAAAAGTAGTGATTCGAAATGTTCAATTTCTCTGAGAACAGACTGAAATCTCCATTTAATCGAGAAGGATGTTGATATGGTTGAATATTTGGATTAAAATTGCAAGGAACTTGATTGTTGTTGCCCATTTTGTCTGGAAAAATGGCTGCGCCCGCCACCTGTTTGTGAAAATGCCTGAGTGAAGTTATGAACATTTGATGTATGTTTGCTTTAGTTTTAGACTGTATTTTACATAATCATTAACTTAATTGCATCACTGAGTTCAGTTTTAAAAAGCAGATAAATGATGATATCTCTCAAGGACTTGGTGCCAGCAGCCCAGAACAATGTGAACACACAATTCATAGTATTAGAGAAAGGCATGACAACAATGGATGGACAAAACAAGACATGTCAATCACTGGTGGCGGACGAAACAGCAGCGGTTCACTTCCAGCTATGGGGAGAAGAGTGCGATGTCGTCGAGCCGAGCGACATCCTACGCTTGATGAATGGGATATTTTCCTACAGCCGAAACAATAATCTGGTACTGAGGGCAGGGAAGAGAGGGAAGATAGAGAAGGTGGGAGAGTTTAACATGGTGTTTGTAGAGACGCCTAATATGAGCGAGATCCATTGGGTTCCCGACACGAGTAACTCGAAAAAGTATGTGAAGGAATCCGTTGTATCTCCATATTCTCGCATCTTCCCGCCAATCCGTTGATAGTTTTGTGGTTGCAGACCAGATTTGAGTGAATGGATTATTCAAGTAATGCAAGGAAAGGTCAAGAAAAGAGTAGATTTTGAAGATGCAATAGACACTATGCTACACAAACATCATGGTCATTGTTGCATCTAACTTTGTTTTGCCTCTTTTACTTTTGCTTTGGAAAGCATTTGATCTAATTAAGCTTTCATTGGTGTGCTTCCTTTCTTGGTATCATGGAGTTGAATCTTATACTCCATGGTCTTTGTAACGACCCGAACCTATCACTAGCTAATATTGTCTTCTGTGAGCTTTCCCTTTCGAGCTTCTCTTCAAGGTTTTTAAAATGTGTTTAATAGGGAGAGGTTTTCACCCTTTATGAAGAATGTTTCGTTTCTCTTTCCACGATATAGATTTTTACAATTTTGGTCATGTTTCTTAAAGGAAAGCACAAATACTTTTTATTACATTTTCTGCCTTACAAAGATGACATACATGACTTTATATAGCCTCAAGTTATAACTTTTATATTTTATGATCATAATGAGCCGCTATTTAAATGTTTTAAAGTACATTAAAGAAATATCATACAACATTATAACTCTAAATTATCATTCGTCAAAAATTTGTCTTTATTCTTATGTGACATGAATTGCAACATTTGGGGATAATTTGAATAATGTTTTTCGCGTCTTTTTCAAAGTTTATATTGCATGATTGATGTCTTGATTCATATCACCTTGGATTCAAACCTCGAAAGGTTGGTACAGTATTAGGATGCGTCCTTATTCGAAGCCTTTCCTAGGCTTTATAGAGTTGTTGCCTCCAAATTATGTTTAGTGAGCTAATGATGAATACATGTTCTAAAGCTTACATATGTTGTAGCTCGAGTGCTCATGCTTACATACCCACATCTCAACTATTGTCACAAAACAACTGATCGACCCAACTACATTTAGTTGTTAAAGTAACACAAAATATTAAATCCTAGGTGAGTGGTTAGTGATAGTGCCACGACAATACATAATCATTCTATCCAACATTCGATGTATCACTAAATGATATATTATTTTATTCCACGACTACGTACAAAATTCTTAAATATTTCTTCTATGACAAGAAACAAATGAAAGTAGCAGTACTAAGGATCATCAAATCATAGCACAACTCTGATAAACTATGTCCTGCTAGGAGATCCACAAATTCAACATAAAACAGCACACTTTATATTGCGAAGTGGACTGGATTTAAACACCAGAAAATCATGGAGGCAATTGGTTTTTGCCAAACATGCACCAAGAACGCATTCAGATGCATGCAGATGTAATGCCTCGAGTTACAGTATCAAATGTAATTCAGGTACAAGAAAACAATGGCATTCTAAGGTGCTTAGACATCCACAAGCTCCTCTGTTGCCATGTATTTTTCGAGTTTTATTCGAGTGATCGATATGAATAGAATCATTACAAATTAAAATTCAGGGCAGAAAGAAGGGAACACCAAGAGCAGCATAACGGTGGATGACTTCGAAAAGAGTTGGGACATAAGTTACAATATCTTTTTAACGCCTCCCAGACGCCACCGATTCGGTAGAAAACAGGTTCTTTACACGCGAAAGAATTGAATCATGAGCAGGGTCATATGGATGATCCTTGGATGGAATCTCCAATATTGCAGGAATTGGCTTGTTATAGCTATCTACCAGAAACCTAATCATGTTTGCAACCTAAAACTCAAAAGAAAAAATGGTATCACAGTTTGATGACACAGAGAAAACAGAACCCATAAACAATATCTCTAATGGCAGGAGAGGCATAGCAAGGTGTAATCAGAAAACAACTTACATATTGACTGATCATCACTATTGCAATATCCTCCCTTGTAGTGAACTCTTTGAAAGCATCTTCGATTTGTTTGACGGTCGTCTCTGAGACATTACAATTCGAACTTTTGAGGCATAAAAAGGGGACAGAAATATGAGTCCAAAAGCCTATTTGAATGAATGAAAAGAGGTGTAATCATACAAAGTGGCTCTGTAAACCTATGGAGTAAGACTAACAGTTCCCTAACAAGCATAGGAAAAACTGATTTGGTTCAATCATAGCATCATCAGTCACTACTCTTGAGCTATAACCCACGAAAGCATTTTAAATACACTTCATTAGCGAGATTATTAATATTCAAAACAGCTATCCCAACAACAAAAATAAAGAAAACTGGTCGAGAATCGGTCTGATTCTATCTCGGTTCGTTCCGTTTGAAGAAAGGAAGGATCCCATAGAATCGATCTTTCTTTTAGTTGTTAAATCTCTATTTGATTGATCAATGTGTGATATTCTGAATCCTCATTACTAATGGAACCGAAATGATCTCTAGATTGATCAGAAGATCCTTTCAATTGGCTAGAATCTGTTACTTGAACGAAACTAGATCTTGTGGAATCATATTGAATGTTTGACAAGACATTCCGTACCTTGCTAAAAAAACCGATCCTTGTTTACCAACCACTAACCAAATCCAATTCTCTCTTGATATGTTTCCCTTTAGTTTAAGAGGGGAAGGGAAGGGAAGGGTGATCTGGTTCGATTGAAAAATTACCCGAAGTCCCCCAGCGCGGTGCATCCTTTCTAAAAATAAGCAAGGATGACATCTATTTCTCACTGAATTTTTGTCCTTGAAGAGAAAACTGGTCGAGAACAGCACCCACATGATCCCTTAACCCACATGATCCCTTAAGCATTGGTTCATCCAACACTTGTATAATTCAAAATGCTAGAATTAATTGCTCAAAATATTTTGCTTGTTGTGATGCTTTCTAATTAACGCGGTAGAACAACATTGTGGTCACCAAAAGATTAAAAAAATCCAAAGAGTATGAAATTCTCTCCATTCTCTCTACTCTACCAACCCAACCCCCAAAGCAACACCCATCCTACCTACCTGAATGATCGCCACTCTTATCCCTCCGACCACTGCCCCCGACCATCTTTATCCAACTATCATCTTGTGACTTCACGATGACCTCCAAGACATAAAATGCAATATAGAACGAAAGAACTTCACTACGGACTTCAACAAGGAGCAAAAAGGAAGGAAAAACAAGATTACAGAGAAGAAAAGTACAGTGTTTCCCTCGAACCAATATTTGAGTCAATGGCTGGCTGATAACATAGACGATCACACCTTCACTCCCTTGTCCCTTGAATGTTTCAGAAGAGCTGACTGTGAGAATGGGTTCCAATGGGTGCAGCAAATACAAACAAGAGAGAAAGTTTATTGAGATTTCTAATGTCTTGAATACGGGGAAAACTTGAACTTCAGAGTCCCTTAAGGTGAGAGTGGAGAAGGATGGAAAAGGTTTGTCAGACTGATAATAAACTGTTTCTTTTCAGAATGCTATGGCAAAACAAAAAAGTCTCACCTATCAGAGGAAAAAGAAGAGACATTTGCGGAGGCCCTGAAGAAGAATCTTATGGAATCAAAGACAGACTTCAAAGAGCCACAACCCAACAAAGACCAATAGAAAAAATTCAACTACCACAAATAGAAAATGGCAGAGAACTTGCCACAAATTCCAATCAACCAAGAAGTCAGAAAAATTAATTGAAACAAAACTGAGGATCCAAGAATCTCTTAAAACGTTCCTGCCAAACCATTTCATAATAGACCCATTTACCACGATTAGGCCCTTTTCAAATGCTCTGGCTCACATTTTGCAAGACTTCTCAACATGAACTAATACAGGCCCTTATACGAATAAATTTGAAATCTGGGACCCTTTTCTACTTAGAAGGTGAATGTGGTGTTAGATAAAACCTGAGTTTTTCCTTATTTAGATTCACACTATTTCATTAGTTGATTGAATACCTCTGTTTGACCATTTGACAAACACATCGAATGGAATACCAAAGTTTTAGATAGCAATTTTGTAGGAAGTGGCACAAATTTAGTTGGCACTCTCCAACCATTTTTAGAATAAGTTATATTTAAAAAGGTAAATCTGTTCAGAAGATTAATACACCTGATTTTAAGCAGCAATTCTCTCTCTTTGTTATTTTACTCGTTTTATTTTCTTCCAACAACTTACCATCGACGATTTCCTCTCACCGAAAAGAAAAGAATTTCCCTAGCCGATTATCGAAAAACAACATGGGGTTCCATGCTACAGTGGTTGGTTGAAATTTAGAACATTTATTGCAAGTGGATACTTAGAATAAGTTAGGTGAAGTGTGTGGAGGCTTCATTAAATACTCGAACAGACGTTTGACCTTGGTTTATGTTATGCAAGTGGTAATTGAAGTTGAAGCCAGTTACTTGGGGATTATTCCGGAAGAATTAGGAAATGGTAATAAAACTGTCTTATTTCCTTCGGATACACCACAAAGAGACTGGAAAGAAATGGCAGCGAACAGGCAGAGAAAAGCTTTGCTAGGGCTAAATGCCCAACAAAAGAGCCCTAAAAGAAACCTCTATGTTTCTCGGAACTAGTGAGCCCAAAGAAAATACTAGTATCCTTTGCAGAAAAGTCCACAGGTACAACCAAGCCCATTCGATCCACAATGGAAGACGTTTAGAAAACAACTCACAAAAAATAAATTAGTTAATTAAAGTTTGAAAAAAAAAAAAGAAGGAAAAAAAAGAGGGCGAAGAAGAAGAAGAAGATTGGGTGGTGCAAACCACGGTCAACCTCAAGTGCGTCAAGTCGGGAGGAAGATTATTATCAACCTGAAATCCTAGACGATAATCAAAGGGAGGAAAATTGGGCTATAAACAGCACTGAGCTACTTAGGCTAACAGAATATGAAAAAAGCAACAGAGATTCTCAGAGAGAAAATGTATATCACTACTCTGGCTGAAGTCCCTTAAACTATATACTGATAATCTTTAACAGGTAGTCCCTTAAACTACACACGGTACCAAGCGTTAATGAATAAGAATGCTAAAACAATCTCCATATTTCCTTACAAAGTCATCATCCCTGCCTTACATATTGATTGCTTATATTTCCAATAAAATAACAATAATAACATATATTTGATGCATATTAAACCATACTTTGCAGTATATAAGATAAAAACCGGAAAATAAACAAATAATCCAAGATAAAGCATAAAACATAAAACTGGAGGAGGCAAATAATTTTCATCTTGGGTTCAAATAATTCCTCTTTTGTGTGAAAATTAAGTTCCAAAGTGGAATACTACACAAAATTTTGGAAAGCTGATACAGAATATCATATAAACCACTGGAAAGTTTTTTAATGAAAAACTAAACTTCAAAATAGACTATCTAAATAACAAGGATTTCAGCAATTGGGCGTTTCACAGGATTTGACACGCAGTTGTAATGTGAGCCTAATGAAATAGGACGCCGGAGTTACACGTGAAAAAGAAAATCAGAGTTACAAGCAATTTGGATCAGAGGGATACTTACTTGAGTCGACTATAAGGTAATTAGTTTTTCTTCGTAGGTCAACATTACCAACTCCAGCAAGAAGAAATCCAACCACCGTATCCTATTATGAAGAAAATTTAGTTTAAACATACAACCAACACCCTGCATAGTTCATGATGCACAAACGCAACAAAATGTACTTGTCCCAAGCCCACCGTTAGCAGATATTGTCCTCTTTGGGTTTCCCTTTCGGGCTTCCCCTCAAGGTTTTTAAAATGTGTATGCTAGTGAGAGGTTTCCACACCCTTATAAAGGTTGTTTCGTTCTCCTCTCCAACTGATGTGGGATCTCACAATCCACCCCCTTCGGGACCTAACGTCCTCGTTGGCACTCATTCCCTCCTCCAATCGATGTGGGACTCCCAATCCACCCCATTTGGGGCCAGCGTCCTTGCTGGCACACCGCCTCGTGTCCACCCCCATTCGGGGCTCAGCCTCCTCGCTGGCACTTCGCCAGGTGTTTGGTTCTGATACCATTTGTAACAACCCAAGCCCACCGCTAACAGATATTGTCCTCTTTGGACTTTCCCTTTTGAACTTCCCTTCAAGGGTTTTAAAACGAGTCTGATAGGGAGAGGTTTCCACACTCTTATAAAGGTTGTTTCGTTCTCCTCCCCAACTGATGTGAGATCTCACAATCCACCCCCCTTCGGGGCGTCCTCGCTGGCACTCATTCCCTTCTCCAATCGATGTGGGACTCCAATCCACCCCATTTGGGGCCAGCGTCCTTACTGGCACACTAACTCATGTCCACCCCCATTCAGGGCTCAACCTCCTCACCGGCACATCGCCCGGTGTCTGGCTCTAATACCATTTGTAACAGCCTAAACCCACAGCTAGCATATATTATCCTCTCTGAGCTTTCACTTTCGGACTTCCCCTCACGGATTTTAAAATGTGTTTGCTAGGGAGAGGTTTCCACACCCTTCTAAACACTATTTCGTTCTCCTCTCCAACCGATATGGGATCTCACTAGGTTTACAAGGTAATTCAATCAATATGACAAAACAATAAGATCATATAAGTGGATCATTTATCTGTAAAAAGAAAACCAAACACCAAAATCACATAACAATGAGATCAAATACGTACGTAATAAGAACTCCTATTGAACCTCCATTCAATTTAATAGTTTAAGGTACCTAGAAAAGCTGTTGCAACATGGATATACACTGGGCGTACCTCATCGGCAATCATAGAAATAAGCGCCGAGTTCTTGGTAGGAATTTGAGCTTTACCAGCCATTTACGAGATGTAGCTACGAAAAAGATTATATAACAATTATACTACTAATCCCGATTATCAAAACACGAAAAATATTTGAATAACAAATGAACAGTTTGAACTGAAAATCCCAATCAAATTAAGCGGGATCAGGGGCGGGGAAAGTTATCCCAAATGGAGTAAAATCTCCAATCAAGAACTGAAATGAACGAAGAAACGAAACTGAAATCCGTGAGATCGGAAATCTACAGCTCAGAAATTGAACAATGGGGTTTAGGGTAATAATTGAGAGCAATCTTAGCACTGAAACTCAAAGATTGTTGATGAAAATCAGGAGTAAAAGAGGGAGTGAAACTAGGATCCAAGATCGGGCGAAGAAGGGAGAGGAGGAAGAGGAATCGAGATAGAACAAGTACCTTGAAGCTGGAGTTGTTGTCGGAATCGGAGCTTTCTACTCGATTGTCTGCAATACAATTTCGGATCTTAGAAATTCAAAGCACTTCTTTTCTATCTCTTTTTTCTTTTCTTTTTTTTCCTTTTTTTTCTACAGATATTTTTACCTTCAAATAATAATTTATGTATTATTTATTAAATTACAAAAAAAAAAAAAAAAATATACCCATACTTTATAAAATATAATATATGATGTCGAGACTAATATATATATAGATATTTTTTTCGTTTTAATATTTAAATTCAGCTCTCTAATTTTACACTCATGAATTATAAAATATAATATATGATGTCGAGACTATATATATATATATATACATATAAGTATTCTTTTTCCGCTCTAATATTTAAATTTGATATTTTAGTTCCTTAATTTTACACCCATGAATTATAAAATATAATATATGATGTCGAGACTATATCTATATATATATATATATACACATATATACATATAGGTATTCTTTTTCCGCTCTAATATTTAAATTTGATATTTTAGTCCCTTAATTTTACACTCATGAATTATAAAATATAATATATGATGTCGAGACTATATCTATATATATATATATACACATATATACATATAGGTATTCTTTTTTCGCTCTAATATTTAAATTTGACATTTTAGTCCCTTAATTTTACATCCATGAATTATAAAATATAATATATGATGTCGGGACTATATATATATATATATATATATATATATATATATATATATATATATATATATGTGTGTGTGTATAAAAGTATTTTTTTCCGCTCTAATATTTGAATTCAACATTTTAACCCTTTAATTTTGGATAATCTCATTTTTGTCATATCCATCGACATTTGTTGTCCCAACATTAATTTTCTAGTGGAGGCGAAAGCTTCGATAAATATATATATATTTTTTCTATTTAAAAAGACGGGGGCTTAGTTTCGTATGAGGCAGCTCACATATAGAAACTATATCCCCAGTATCGGGATTCAGTTAACAGTTATTTAATAGTTCGCGGATGCAAATTATATTTAATAATTATTTGATTTTTTATGTTTAGTTTAAAAAAATTAAATTCACGTACATTTTTATTTGTTTATCTAAATCAAGTTTTAAAAAATAAAAAAAATAAAATATTTATTTTTTTCATTTTGAATTTAGTTAAAAATTTAAATATTTTATTTTAATAGGTAAAAATTATTGTAAAAAAATAAACACAATTTTAAAAAATCAAATATTTATGAAACGAGTACTAAATTATATATATATATTTTTTTTGTATATTATATATGTGTATATCTATATATATATATGATGTATACATAATATGTATATGGTGTATGTGTATAAATATACATATATATACTACATATATACATATACATATACATATATATATATATATATGTATAATAAATATTTATTTATTTATTTGTTTGTGTGAATGCTAAATTTTTTAAATGAATTATCATCTTATTTTTAATTTATTTTTTAAATGGGTAAACTAACGGCCCACCTAAAATTTTTCTATATGGAAAGCCCAATCCATGGAATCAATTGGCGGCCCAAGTTGTTCCTATATATTTAAAACCCTAGCTGCTCATCACCGGTGCCCGTCATATCGGAATCCTCAGCAACTGGTATTCTCACTTTCTCTTTCTCATATATTGATATCTTGATCCGAATATGGTCGCTTTAGGCATCAATTCATGGTTTTTTCTTGCTGATTGCACAGTTTTTGTTATCGAAAATGAGTCGAGGAGGTGCAGCTGGCCCCAAGGGGAAGAAGAAGGGAGTAACCTTCACAATCGACTGTACGAAGCCGGTGGAAGATAAGATTATGGACATTGCTTCGTTGGAGAAGTTTCTTCTGGAGAGGATTAAAGTCGGAGGCAAGGCTGGTGCTCTTGGCGATGCCGTCTCTGTTACTCGCGAGAAGAGTAAAATTACTGTCACTTCTGATAGCAACTTCTCCAAGAGGTAAAATATTTTCCTCCATTTGAATAACTGATTTGTTCTACATCAATGTTGCGGCCAATCTCCTCTCAGAAGTTGTATTTTGAACTAGGTTATGTATAAAGTTTGTACTGTGTTTATGGCTGCGAGTTAGAAATATGAAAAGGTTGGAGATTTGTTACCTGTTAGTGTTTTGAATGTTTCAAGTATGAGTTATTTTAAGGATAATCGGTATGATGCATCTGGATTCTTCCCTGGTGTATTTTGGATTTGTTATTATTAAGGGGAAAGTTAGGGTTGGTATGTTTGATATTTGTTCTTCGTAATGAAAATGATTGTATGGACTATATCTCACTTGTACTTCTAGAACTCTGAGAATTGACATGACGGCTGAATAAATTGATTCTAGAACTAGGCTTGTTATGTTCTATCTTTGTTTTGTGCAATGAAAATGATCAAATGTACTAATTCCATCTTTAGAATTCTGAGGGTCGACATGAGGAATTGTTATTCATCATTGTGAGAGCTCTAAATGTAATATTTTGGTAGTTTTCTGTTCTTTTTATTTTTAAATTTGGGATACAATAGGCTGTTTGCTCATATAGGAAAATTTCTTGGTTGTTCCCCTTTACTCTCGTATCAGTAGTTTACATAGGGTGCTCGTTCTCTCTTTTGTTTGGGCTTTGTAACAATGGAGTTTATTTCGCTTCTTTCTTTAATCGGTGATTTTGATCTTATATAGGGTTGAGGGATGTTCGTTTTTTGGAGCTCTAACCCTTATTAGGGCTTTGATTATTCTTTCTTCCATTATTTATTGGACCTTTCTCCTGCTAGGGAGTTCTTTTTTTGAGTCTTTGGTAAGGTGAAAATCCCAAGAAAAGTTTGAGTTCTTTGTTTCGCATGTCATCCACGGAAGAATCAATACCTTGGATAGGCTCTTAAGGAAGTTTCCTTCTTTGTTGGGCCTTTCTGTGAAGACCTGTATCATTTGATCTGGAATTGTGATTATGCTTGGTCGGTCTAAAACTTTTTCTTGATGTGTTTGTCTTTCAGCTGACCTGTTATAGGGATTTTAGTGAAACAATTGAGGATTTCCTCTTCCATCTATCGATTTTATAGAAGGGAAGTTTTGTATGGAAGTTGGAGTGTGCGCTTCATGTAGTGAGGTTTATTGAGGGTGAGATTATAAAATCAATAGATGGACTGAGTGGGAGTTTTCTAATCTTTGAACCTATATGAGATTTAAGTGTTTCTCTTTGGACGTCGGTGATGATTTACTTCAGTAATTGTTTGCTAGGTCTTATTTTACTTGATTGGGTGGGTCCCTTTTACTAAGGTTGCTCCCTTTTGTATGCTTTGTTTTTTATAATGCCCTCTGCATTCTTTCATGCCCTTTGTTTTTTGTATGCTAAATTATTTACACTACTTGCTGGACCTCGTGAGCTTGTTATGCTTATTTATTGTGCTCATTCCCTTAGGTTTGTTTGAATACGAGGAACAAATAGAAATAGAATGCTGTGCTAGTGATTTGTTCTTCAGAATCAATTATTCAGCTCAGTATGCTCATTTTGGCCAATGTGTTAATTCGTGCACATTGTTGTCATTCGGGATTACCAATGTGTTAATTCATTAATTTGTGCACATTGTTGTAAACAGTTTATGGAGTTGATTGATGTGGATTGACCGATATTTTTATATCTATGTTTCTGATTTCAATGATATCTTCATTCAAACACGGAATAATAGAGGAATGTCTTCATGATAGGAGAATACTAGTTCACTAATCACACGTAACCTATGTAATCATCCGTGACGTTTGCTAAGCAATGGCTTGGGCAGCTGTAGAAATTTAATATCTGAATTATATTAGTTTCTCATTTGTTCTTCTGGCATTTAGCATCCATGACTGATATTATCTTGTGTTTGGTCTGGTTAGGTATCTGAAGTACTTGACGAAGAAGTACCTGAAGAAACACAACGTTCGGGATTGGCTACGAGTGATTGCTGCCAACAAAGATAGGAACGTTTACGAACTCAGGTACTTCAACATTGCCGAGAACGAGGGAGAGGAAGAGGATTAAATTTATGCATTCAAGGAACAAGTGTGGCTTGGAATCTATCACTGGTTTAGTTACTAGTGTTGCTTGTGTGATGCTCTCTCCATCTTTATATTTGAACTAAAGCAGTTTAGCAATTTTGTTTTGTTTGACAGACTTAGATTGCTGTTATTTTTTTGTGTCATATTTGAGTAAGACCAACAATATTTCACTCTTCTAATTAATTGTAGGTGGATCAAAGTATTTGTATTTTACCAAAATTTTGTATTGGCGTTGTTAGAAATTTCATTTGGGGTTCTTTTTTTATTATTTTTTTTTAAATTGTGATCTCTAAGAGGAAGTGTACAATTTGTCATCAAAATTGAGGAGCACAAATTGTCAAAAGTTCTCTACGGTTTACTTACGTAAGCACTTAGGCACGGTAAGCATTTAGGCATGTTCTGCCTGAACAAGAGTACAGAGTTTAAACTTTCTGAAGTGCTTGTAGTTTTTATACCTATATAATGGAGTTGAGACACTCATAGTTGGTGTGTATGTTAAGGGCTTGATCTTACTGTTACAAGTGTGGAAGGTATCAAAGAGTTGAAGCAACAAATGATGAAAGAACTAGAGATTACTAATCTCGAGTTACTCGAGTACTATCTTGACAATAAAGTGGACCGAAGGAATTTTGGCAAATTCTACTACAATGTGCCCTAACTAAAGGCGAGCACATACCCCACAGTTATATTCTACCTAGAGCATCATATAGAGTACTTAACTTGTGCCATCCTGTTAGCAAAAACACCTATAAGCCCTAACTACTGCATACGAGTTCATATTCATGCTTTAATAGGCTTAAATAATCATAATCGATTATAAAAAAGGAGGACCTGATGTTATGCCCTTTATCCCCAAAAAAAGGCCCGGATCCCCGAACAACAAGTCTAGGTAAGCTTCCTTCTCTCCTGCCCGCTAACAGGAAAACCTTTGAAATTATTCCAATATTGGTACTTGGGCATATAATAGTTCCTGAGATGGATAGAAAGATACCCATTTCCCTTTTGGGTCTCCTCTCAAAGTTTTTAAAATGCGATTCCATTAAAGAATAATTCGTTCTATTCTCTAACCGATGTGAGATTTCACGTATTATTATCCAAAAACTTATAAAAAAAAAAAAAAAATTACATCATCACCTATACATAATTGGAGTACTCAACCGATGTATGGGCTCATTACATGTCATAAACTCAAGTACCATCGGAAGAGAAAAAGTAACAGGAATGAGTATAAACCTATTAAGTAACATTTATAAGTTCTTTATTATCCATAAATCATATACTTAATCTAAATAATATATATTCTTAACATCTTACATTCTCGTAGGTCATCGACCATTACCCCAATAATGGTAAAGACTCGAACAACTTGTCTAAGGTCATCCATGTCATTAAAGTCTTACTTCTAGTCGAGTTCAATTGGCTCATCGGGACATAAAGGTGTTATTTCAATTTCAGATAATCTAGTTCTTCGAGCTTACATGATAAGGCAATCATAATTCTCAACCCAATGATCCGAGCTTTTGTTGATGCAAGAACCTTGGAATCAAAGAAATTAACACTTCCTTATACAAAATTCGAATTAACCAAGAGATAAGGTTAGAATCAGATTGATAAAAAATCTAGAATCAAGATTTTGAACCTTGTTCTAAATTGAGTCACTCTACCATCAAACTTTATCAGACTTGATCGAATGGCTCAATTGCAATCTACCACAAGAATTGCTTGAAATATTTGAAATTGCAGGCTCAAATTTCTAACAAAGAGAGTCTTTAACTTCAGAGCTCTATTTCATTCATCTAAAATACGATGTTTACATGCCAATTATGTGGGTATTTATAACCTCTCGACAAAAGAAACATCTTAACAGTTCGAATGTCCACTAAAAGAAGTTATGGTCATGATTAACACACTTCCCACTATTGCCCACGGTAAGAAGTCATGGTTATGATTGACAAGTAACTCCCCGCTACTCTTCAAATACCCGAAGTTATAAAATTAAAATAACAAATAGAGTTTCGAAGAAATTATCAATTAAGTACTATTTATGGCAATCCCGTGCTCCACTCGACTTGCAAATGCTAACTTCCAAAGCTTTAAATGTCTTTCCTCACTCGAGCCAGCTTGTAGCACATGAAATGGAGTTCGAACCGAATCTATCCAATTTGTAGATTAAGAATGAATACTTGTTAAATCTTCTCGACCTTGGATCGTGTATTGGTCCAGTTGGAACATTTGGAACATCACGATCCTTATCATTACCTATCATTTGAGTTTGTATAATCTAGCTCATTTAAGCTTATCTTATCCATCGGTTTACAAGAGATTTTGGACGGTCTAGCTGATCTCTTTACAACTTATACTATATATACGATCTTCGATAACCAAAACAGTTCACTATTAAAGATTAGTTGACGGTTCTCTAATATTTTTCACATAGTATAATCATCGTAACTGGGAGGTAATAACCTTGTGCATGCCAACTACCAAGATATTATGCATACCTTTATCAATTGAGATCGATTCATTGCTAGAGGCTAGTCTGATACCCCCTAGCAATCCCGACTAATGATTTAATGGCATTACATATTAGGTTAACTAACGTACAAAAACGCTGGGATGCAGGCCCTCGAAGAGGGAAGCCCAACGAATCTCATATGCAAAGCTCCACACCTCATTAAGATCATATTGACGTACTCTCCCAAAAAAAAGAAAAAGAAAAAAGAAAAAAAGCAGACCCCATTGAAGACGAGAGTGAGATACAACATGGTCATTTCTATCTACGACCCTTCTCAAAGAGCCGTATATGGACGTTACTGCTCATATAGCTCCTAGCCAGCAAGCAGTTCCATGTCTTGGCTAACTACTAAGATACTAAGCTAACATTTGTATCCTATCTCTCCGGGATAATTTTGTATAATTTCTTCAAAATTAATAACATTATAATTATACATAATAAATATGTTAAATATATCTTTTTTATTTAATTGAGTTTAGGAACTTATCACCCACTAGATTGGTCATCGGTTCGATTTAGGCACTATTGCTGGCTAAGTTGTAGAAGTGATTGTGAGACACCCACACCGCACAGCTTCTGTCTATGGGCTTTCCCTCAAGGCTTTAAAACGTGCTGGAGAAAAGTTTCCACACCCTTATAAAAGGTATTTCGTTCTCTTCCCCAATCAAATGCGGGCTTTCCCTTTGGAGCGTCCTTGCTGACACTCCTTCCTTTCTCCAATCGATGTGGGACTACCACCAAATCCATCTCCCTTTGGAGCCCAACATCCTTACTAGCACATTGCCCTCGTGTCTACTCCCTTTAGAAAACAGATGTGGTGGACTTGGACCGTTCCGACTTAGACCTCACAAAATCACAAAATCTTGAAGAAAAAAAAGTGGGTGAGATTTAAAAAAAAAAAAAAATTATAAGTTAAAACAGACTCGCAATTGTGCGACACTCACTTTCTAGCAATAAGTGAGTTTAACTAATTCGTTCTTGGGTTGCTTGGGGCCAAGAGATGTAAGTTCGAGCCTCTGACCCCAATTCAAGAAGAAAGTTTTAGAAAACTGGATAGAGAGATTTCGAAAGAGAGTTTTGAAAGCAAGATTCGAGAGATTGAAATCGGTGTTACATGTGATGTAAGCAAAAAGACAACAACAACGACTTACAACATATAACTACCGAGTAGGGGATATGACTGACCCAATTAAACCCACGAGCAGCCCTAGAAATTTATCTTTACTTGATAATTAAAACATTAAAAATTAAAAAAATTGAATTCTCATACAAATTGAAAAGGAAAAAAAAATGCATTGAGAAAAGATTGAAGAGTTTGGGTAATTTCTCTCTCTTGTTTGTAAGAGCGAGAGAGGCATGTTGGAGAAAGAGAGCACGTGCAGAGGAGGGTGCGAATGGGATAATAAAGGCACTTGCCTTGCACGTGCCCTGCTTCTCCAGCAGGATTCTCTCGCCCAGCCGCCCGCCATTGTTGAAGAAATCAAAGCTTTTTTGTTACCCTGAAATTTTTGTCGGAGATGAAGAAGACGGAGATTTGTATGAATCATTTAAATAGGAATTTCAGAAAGAGATAGGGGCAAAAATGGAATTTACGACAAAATAATAATAAATTAATTAAATAATTTTAACGCCATTTTTTTTTACTTATCTACAAAATAATAAAAATATTTTTTAATTTTCAAAATTAAAAAAAAAATTATATTAATAATTTATATTAAATTTTTAATTATTTTTTAAAAAAATATAAAGATTTTATATAAAAATTTTAAAAGTAATATTTACCCTCTTTAACCTTTATTTAAAAAATATTAAAAAAATGTATTTACCTCCTTTTCGCACTATTACGAATATGAAAATGAAAATTAGATTCAATTGTTAATTGCTCGGGATTGACTATGGATTCGAGCCATAGCACACGATTTCATAAAACCGTACGATTTTTCTGATCTAAATAAACCAGGTTTTACATGAAGAAGATTTGGTTCAACATGTTCTATTCGATACACGTAGGAAAAGAACCCAACTGGGTATTATATTATTAAAAAAATAGAGAAGCCAGAACCGAATTAAGATGATACGAATCAATCCCTTTTTCTTGTGCCAAAGATCTTACCATTTCCACACCTTATAAATCATCTCCAAATTTTTAATTTCTTTTCCTACAAATTTAAGAATATATTGATTTTTTTTATAAGAGTTCATAAATAATTTTGAAAACGACATCACTCCACTTCCACTTACACCTATCATAATAATAAACGGCTCATCTCGCCGTGACTTTCTCTTAAATTCTCAGACCTTTTTGTCGCTCCATCTCCGCAGGGGCAGGGGCAGAGAAGCCATCGTTATCTCGGCTATGCTACTAGAGGCTCTGGAAAAGTCGGAATAGGAGAGCACTCATCTACTTAGATTCTTTCAACAGTTATCCGCTCCGCATTTGGCTACCCAACATTTACCGTGGGCACGAAAGATTTTGAAGTTATTTATTTATTTATTTTATTTTTTAAATAAAAGCATTTTTTAAGTTTGTAAAATTTTTTTAAGGATGTTAAAAAAAATTTAAAAATCAAATGGTAAAAATATTTTTGAATTGGTAATTACTCATTTTTAAATTAAACTTATGACGTCATATTCATAAAACATTTATTACCGTCTTAAATATTAATAAATATCAATAAATATTTAAATTATTTATCGAA